GGGAACCTTTGGAAGGTACATGAAGCGCAAGAGATTCGAACAATAACTCGTTTCCTCCATTTTACAAGCACCACCAGCGGAGACACGAAGGCGTTCCATATCCGCCCCATTTTGCAGGTGATCGAGAAAACGTTTCGTCGCGGATATTGTCTCGGTCCACGTGTAAGCTTCGACGAGGGAACAATCCCTAATCGAAGTCAATACAATTCTATACGGACTTACAACAAGAGGAAGCCCCACAAGTATGGGACATGACTTGCTGGGCCGTCAGTGGGTACTGCGCGAGGTTTGTATTGTGTTCAGTTTCCGACAGAATACGAAATCTTGTATTTTGTCATATTCTGTCTCAATTCCGTTTTGCTAACTACCAATGCTACCTTTTTTGTTATACTGTATACTACAGAGTTGAAGTTTATCTTGGTGCTAAACCAAGAAGAAGAGCGAAGGCGCATCCCAAAGGGTAGCCATCCGCAATATCACCAAGGCATTTGATGGGTTACCGAAGCAGCGGTTAATTATAGCCGACAGCTTCTACAGCTCACCTGCGCTGGCACTTTCACTTCTACCACTGGGGTTCTACTACGTTGGGACGCAACGAAGCGACCGACCGGGGTGGCCCAAAGAGCTCATGTTCAAGCAGAAGAAGAAACCGCAGTCCATGCCTCGAGGAACGTACAGGATTGCCCAAGCCAGACAATACCCAGAGCTTGTTGCTGCCGCATGGATGGACTCGAGCCCTGCTCATATGATCGCCACAGGGTGATTCACAGTATGTCAAAGAAGGACAAAAGGACGGGGGCCGTCACGCAAGTTCAATGCCCGCAGCTAGTTGCTGTATACCCCTGACCAGATCCGCCTGCAACGCTACTCTATCCAGAGATGTGTAGCGTTCAAAAAGTACTATCGACAGCTATTTCTAGCTTTTGTCGACATGGCAGTGGTGAACGGCTTCATCCTGCACAAGCTGGCCGTGAAGCGGAAATGAGATAGAGTCCCAACACATGCCGAGTACATGAGACGCCTTCATATGGAGTTGCTAGCAGTAACTTCTGTAAGTTTCCGCTCTAATCAATACGGAGAGGACTTGGCCAACGCACCACTCCACACTCGGGAGAACGTGCTGTGCAGCACCAAAGAGCTGTTTGAGGCAAAGTGTAACGGGGTTACATGGTGTGGAGCACACAGGGGTACGAAGTACCCGGAGAGTTAACAAACTCTCAGTACATAAGTTGGAGAGTTAACAAGGTCTCTCAGTACGTTGGCTGAAAGCCACACGTTATGCATTTGATTAGGTTTAACTATGCTAGATAGTTAAAGAGATACATTTACCCCTAGGCGGCTTGGCCGCAATAATAGTAAATAAAACACTTCTGGTTTTGAAGTATAAAAGTTAAGGTGTTAACTTTGAGCCCTGGTCTTGGGCTGTAAGTGTCCTTTGGATAAGGAACTTAGTATTAGTGACTCTTGAGAATGCA